AGCACCAAATAATTTCAGAAAATTTCTTAGAATTGGTGGACATCAGTTTCCAAATTGATGCGCGCTTTGAGCCATGGATGAAAATAGACCTACACCAAGGCACATCATCATGAGTTTTAAAAACACTAAGACAAAAAAGCAAATGTATAGACTTCCAGTGGCAGAAGGAAGGAGGGAGTTTTTATACAATGTATCAGAATACAAATAACAATCAAATAATCAGAATGGCATCAGACTTCTCAACAGCAACTCCATAATTTAGAAAGCAATGGAGAATGCACTAACTAAAATGAAGAATACATTACAGGGTGTCAACAATGGAGTAGATGAAGCAGAGGATCAAATCAGAGATTTGGAAGATAAGGAAGTAGAAATCACCCAATCAGAATGGCTAAAAGAAAAAAGGATTTAAAAAACGAGGATAGTGTTCAATATAAGGAGCCTCTGGGACAACTTCAGTCATGCCAACATTCCCATCATGGGGGTGAGAATCCCAAACAAGATGGACCCAAAGAGGCCCAGACTCATCATAATTAAAATGCCAAAGGTTATAGACAAAAAGGGAACCTTAAAAACAACAAGAGAAACAATTAATTATCTACAAGGGAGCTCCCATAAGTCTATCAGCTGATTTCTTAATAGAAACTTTGCAGGCCAGAAGGGATTGGCAATCAATACTCAAAGTGATGAAAAGCAAGGACCTACAACCAAGATTACTCTATCCAGCAAAACAATCATTTAGAATCTAAGGACAGATGAACAACTCTCAGACAAGAAAAAGCTAAAGGAGTTCATCACCACTAAACCAGTATTACAGGAAATGTTAAAGGGTCTTCTCTAAGAAGAAGAAAAAAGATAAAAATAATTCATAATAAAATGCCAATAAATTCATATCTATCAGCAATTTTTTAAATGCTTCAATCAATAGACAAATGGAGCCTGAATAGATAACAAAACAAAACCCTTACATATGCTGACTGCAAGAGACTCATTTTGTATCAAAAGACATACACAGACTGAAGGTAAAGGGATGGAAAAAAGATATTTCATAAAAATAGAAACATACATGAATATGATGGTGGTATAGAGGTAGAAGAAAACTAACTCCTCATTTTTCATAATAGAAGGTAAATAACACTGGAAGTAAGAAGTTGTATGCTATTTAGCAATATGTAAGCAGCATCTGGTATGTATCACTATATAAAGATTGCATCTGGATAAGCAAAACTGAGGGCTGCTCTTTTAGAATTTTAACTCTTTAAATTGTATGCATGTGTAATTTTTATATAAATAAAAAGTAAATTTTAAAAAATAGTAAGTAGTTTCCTTGTGAGGATCAAGAATGTGTGCTTATGGGCAGCATGAGAAACACACAGTGCTACCCAAATGGGTAGTTGTGATTTGGGATACCAGACAAGCTGTCAAAGACATGACAATGAGCTTTGGAAAAGCTTATAGGTGACTTAAAACATGCATCTCTAGTAATGATACAAACAACTGACATTGGTGATAAAAGTGAAGAGTTTGAATTAGAGTTATGTTATGAACTATGAGTGGGGAAAAGGCTGTATTTTGAATTTTATATATATCTTGTAACATGGGATTTTGCTCTTTTGTCAGCCTTTTAATTCTATATGTTGACCCAACTTATATCAAGATTTCAAAAGGTTATGATTGTTTTTTATTTCTTTTTCAGAACGTAACAACCTTTTATTGCCCTTCTTTTCTAAGCCACACTCTTTCTGCATTTAGTGTAACCTCCTCCCCACATGGCATGTCTGTACGGCTTTCCCAGTGGGAATCACTTCTCAAGAGAGAAAACTATTTCTTCCCTAACCAGCCCAGCCTCTCCTTGCTATCCAACTTTTCTGGGGTTTCATAGCCAGTGCCCGAAGCAGAAGTGCTTAGGTCGTAGTTGGTGTTCAATAACTACGTGTTAAAGGAATAATTCTGTGGAGAACTCTGATCAAAGTCAAACCACTGAGTGCTAGCGTATTCTCACTCAAATACAAACTCAGGAGCCCTCAGAAGTGAGACAAGTCCGTGAGTGAGATACTTCTGATGAGAACAGTGACAAACTGATGGTTTCCAGAGGAGGGGGGCCATTGGGGGGCCGGGTGAAAAAGGTGAAGAGATTGAGAAGTACAGATTGGTAGTTACAAAGTAGCCACAGGAATGTAAAATCCAGCATCGGAAAAACAGTCAATAATATTGTAATAACTGTGTATGGTGCCTGGTGGGTACTGGAAATATTGAAGGGAACAGTTCGTAAAAAATATGATTGTCTAACCACCTGAAACTAATGCTGTACACCTGAAACTAATACAAAATAATACTGCATGTAAACTGTATTTGAGAAACATTTTAAAAAGAGAACAAAAGGGAGACAGAAGGATCCATCCAGAGGGGCGTGGGAAAGTGAGTCCAGGGTGGCTGGATAATCATAACAGTAACACTTACATAGTGCATTCTACATGCGCTGGTTCAGTCACTTTACGTGTGAAAACAACCTTACAGCAGAAACTCCATGAGAAAAGCACCACTATTGTCTTCCTCACTGTTTTGCAGAGAAGGAAACTGAGCAACCTAAAGACTGCATGCTGAGGCACGCATGGCTAATAAGTGGCAGAACCAGGGTTTTAAACCCAAGCATTCCAACTGCCAAGTCCTGGTAACCAGTGTACCATCCGTATCGTCCCTTCAATTTTTTTTAAAGAAAGTATACATTGATATGAAGCCTGCAGTTTTGATTTGCTGGCAACTAATTTAATTTTTTTAAGGTCCATAATCCAAGCAAAGCATGCTGGTGTGTGACTTCTCAGGGTATACAAACCGTGACCAAGTCCCCAGACATGCATTGCCACATTTAATGTGCCTGGTAGGCTCGGTGGTGACTGTCAGGAACTCACAGAGATTGGGACCCACTTAAGGGTTCAACTTTGTCACTCCAGTGGGCATCCACCCTGATGAACCTTTCAAACCTCAGGTATGGATTTGGTTAAAGGGGAAAGAGAAGGATCTAGCAAACGTGAGAATGGCCACCACACTTGTGCCATAGACCACAGGAAGTTTCAAACCTCTCTGCAAATTGGTGCAAGTTTGTCCAAGAGGCCACCATGCTCTTTTCCTGTTGCAAAGAAGACACAGATGGGCTTAATGTATTTTCTTGACTCCACTATTGTTTTGTTTCAGACCATTTCAGTGAAACATGGAGGGTTTTTTTTTAAACCAAGGGAAATATTGAGTGTTCTGTGATGGTTACTTCCATTTGGCAAAATATTCATTTTTGTAAATATGAATGTGTAAATTCATTGGCAGATGCTAGAAAAGTCATACTTGTTGATAATAACAAAGTTTTTATTTTTGTGCCCATGCCCAGAACAATTTGCTATGCTAAAATATGACATGAGTAAAATGCTAGATGTTTATATTTCTCTGGAGGAATTATTTCAAATCATTGAGTAGAGATATAAATTATGAATTAATTGTAGTGAATAGAATGTTTACATTCTTTGCTAGAAGCCAAGAATAATAATTGAATGAAGCCCCATTAACACTTCCTGTGGACTAATTTAGATAGTGGGTAAGGTATTGGTATATGTGTTTGCTTTTCCTTTCCATGTTGTGTTGAGATATTAAACCATCTGTTCTTGTGTATAAACATTTTCCTGGGATTCAGATGGGATTATGAGCTACGATATGGTTCTATGGTTATTATGGGGTGATCAGAGTGTTTATAAGAAAATCTTACTTTAGGGGCCTCCTTATGATCACTACAGGCTTAGGTTGGCAGAACATCTCCTCCTGGAAGCAAATTGTTTTTTACAAATGTTGGTGTGGTTAATTTTCAGTATCAGCCTAAATTAAATGATATTTTTAAGTTCTTTTTTTTTAATTTTTTAAAAAGATTTTTTATTTATTTATTTTCAGAGAGGGAAGGGAGGGAAAAAGAGAGAGAGAAATATCAATCTGCAGTTGCTGGAGGCCAAGGCCTGCAACCCAGGCATGTGCCCTGATTGGGAATCGAACCTGCGACACTTTGGTTCGCAGCCCCAGCTCAATCCACTGAGCTACGCCAGCCAGGGCTGATATTTCTAAGTTCTTAAATTAAGGTGATATTTTTGTACTTACTTGGACTATAGTTCATTTTTAAGATTAGTTCTAAGTAGACTCCTTACTAATTCGTTTTCATTCTCATCAAATGGAAATATTTCTAAGAAAACGTATGAAGCTCAAAACTGACCACTGTGCCAGATAACAGTTTTATCTGTAAACTGAAGAAAAGTTATGTGTATGTGATTATTTTATGAATATGCATAAAATATAATTAAGTAACACCAAATATTTACCACTGTCGATCAAATAAAATAGTCATATTCCAAAACATTTTAGAACATTCTTGGTATGAATTTGTAAACAAAGTTTAAAGATTTATACTTTATCTAGCAAAAGATTTCCATCTGGGAGAAAACAAAAAACAACTTTAAATCAATGCACCCATCCACCCCAGGACACTTGAGTGATGCAGCTCATGTCCATGAACGATGGTGTCCCTCCAACTTGAAAGGAGCTGAGAAAGGCAGGGAGAAGGGAGCCTAACAAGAGCCCCCAGTGGCTTTTAATATTCTCTTATTACAGCATCCACCCTTTGTCTCTCTCTCTCTCTCAAGAATCACAGACTAAAACAGATTTAAATCTGATGGGTGGCAGCTCTCCAGTTGCTTTTTGCAATTACAAATTTAAAATAACTTGATTTTAGTTTTTAAGTTTATGAATACTTTAAAATATTTTTACCTTATTGTAAAAGGTATTTAATGTAAAATGTAAAGGTATTTTTACATCAAGAAGACGTATTGGGCACATTTATAATTCACTTGTTGATCATCTCTGCTTTACATACAAACTATGCTTGCATTAACAATTGCTATAAAACAAGAAATGTATAGTAGTAGGTGAATCATGGATATAAGGATGTGACTATTCTATCTTCACTTTTATAGCACCATCCAGTAGAAAACCAGGAGACCCCCTAGTCATCTCAGATATCAAAAAAGGCAGTGTGGCACACAGGTAAGCAAAATGGGTTTTCTGGTGCATTCCAAGGCATTTCTAAATTAAAGCAGAAACAATCCACATACAGCATGTGGACATACAGTACATGCACATACAAACACATATGCATGCATTTTTTTTCTCATTTCATGATGGGAAAATCTTCAGTAGACCTGCAGTGGTCCACCGCAAGTATTAAACTCTCAGTGGAAACACCCCACTCCAGACAGGTTTTCTTCCCACTGCAGACACACTGAGTTTCCCCATGCAGGTGGAAACGGCAGAGGCACCACATCTCAGACCTCCACTAAGTGCATCCCACCTTGGCCTTCCTCACTCCCTCAACCCTCTCCTAGTGTCTAGACTGCCAAGGATCAAAAGAGTAGCACAACAATGTGGAAAAGCTTAAGGGATCTGGCTATAGACCCAAGACATTACCTTCCTTCCTAGGAACCTTACAGTGTTGTCCTGTTTTAATAGAAGACAGCACAAGAAAAAACTGTTTTTAATGCCCTGCAATTTAATATAATGGCAGCCATCCAAAATAAGACTGGAAAAAAAGGGGGAGTTGTCAATAAAATTCAGTTTAAACAGTTGAAGAACCTCTTTTCCTCTACAGACTACCATAATGCTACATTACGCTTAATGCCTCTTCAATGGCCTGGTGAAGTGCTCATCGCTACTCATGTATTGCTTTGCATTTATTAACAGAACCGGAACCCTGGAACTTGGGGATAAATTACTTGCAATAGATAACATTCGGCTGGACAATTGTTCCATGGAAGATGCAGTTCAGATCCTCCAGCAGTGTGAAGACCTGGTGAAGCTCAAAATCCGCAAAGATGAGGATAACTCAGGTATTCATAGCCTCCTTAGTTAACACTGATTTCTCTAACTGCCCATCTGTCACAAAAGATACTAGATCTTGATGTTTTACAAACAACAGCTGGCTAGAGACACTGCAGCAGAGTTTTACATAGTTAAAAGGGTCTTTAAAATGTGCATTGAAAGTGTAGTAGTTAAGTAATGGTGCTTTTAAGTGATATAATTAAGACAGTGTTGTTATCTAACCATTATGACAACTGTATTTAAATAATATTTAAAGATGGAAATGAGCTTAGCCCCCAGTACCACCCTAATACAACAGGACAAGTCATTTTCAAGTTGATAGTTATATTACGTAATTATAATCATAGTGCATGTTACATTTTTACTTAATTTTACAAACACATTACAATTGTATAACCCTTAATATATGTTATTTTTATTTACTGACTGTAATTTACCGTTCTTCTCTTCTTACTTAGATCACTTTTAACTATTTATTTTTATGGATAGTACAATCATGGATGTCTTTATGCATAGATATCTTTCTTCAACTTTTCCTCTTTTGAAGTATTTCATTAGTAAATATTCCTAGCAGTAAGTTTACTGGATCAGATTGAACTGGAAATCTCACCATGCAGAGTCTTGTAGCACGTTTCTGTCTAAAAGGGCTGTGTCCATTTTAAGTGCCTCCGGCAATGTGGGAATCCACTGGAGCCGTGCTTCTCCGGCTTTAGTGGGCCTCAGAATGTCCTGAAGAGCTTGTTAAAAAACAAACAAAAAGTGAACAAACAAAACAGAAACAAACTCATAGATACAGAGAACATTTTGGTGGTTAGCAGAGGGGAAAGAGGGTGCGGGGATGGGGAAGGGGGGAAGGATTAAGAAATACAGATTGGTAGTTACAAAACAGTCTTGGGGATGTGAAGTAGGCACAGGGAATGTCGTCAGTGATATTGTGATAACTGTGTGGTGCCAGACGGGCACTAGAATTGTAGGAGTGATCGCTTCATAAGTTATATCAATGTCTGATCGCTATGTTGTGCACCTGAAACTAATCTAATATTGTATGTCAACTGTAATTTAAAAATTAAACATTATTTTTTTAAAAAAAAACACAGTTCTTGGGCACTGTCCCCAAATGGGGCGTGAGATTCTGCATTTCTAACAAACTTTGTCAGGATGGGTGCTGCTCTGGTCCAAGGACCGCACTCTGAGGGGCCCTGCAGTAGAAGCCCTTTTATCTGATTATGGTAAGACCAGAGCTAGTTAGAAAAAGGCATTGATTGAAAGAGTCAGCTGATGTGGGGAATTATAGGAAGTATATTTATATCCATAATATAAATGTTTAATTTAAAATGTTGCCAGTCTTATGGGTGAAGCCAAGGCCTTTCATAAGAATATTCTGCTGATTATAGTTACAAGTCTTTTTACTTACTTGCCTAAACCATAGCCACAATACACAGTTTACGATTTCTGCTTGTCGGAGTTATTTTGTTTATTTGTTTTAATAGTGAGAATTTTAAAAATTCAGTGCAATCAGAGTGCTTACCCCATCTAGATTTTTATTTTCCCCAATGCTGTCGGGTTTTTCCTCTGCATAATTAATAGTAGATGTTTGCTTAATAAACCCCCCTTATTGAGTCTTTCCAAGCATTTGATTTTATTTTCATAGAAACACTATACTCATATTTCATAGGTTATGTAAGATTCATTAAATTACATAGTTACAATAACAAGTAAAACTGGGACAAAACAGGCTTGGGAATAAATGTAATTAACTCTAAATTTTTAAGCTTACAACTCAAGAGGTAGCAAGAGCAGGCATTCACAGGGGTGCTGGAGAAAAACCGATTAATCGAGCGCATTTGCTGTCATTGCCCAACGTAATTCGCAGAGGACGGAGAGCCACAGTTAATACAGTGAATTGGTGAATTGGAGCTTGGTTAAGAGAGCTTCTGCTGTTTATAATTTCATCCAAACCAATAATGAGTTATTGTCCATGTTGTAGAATCACCTGTGATTCCATCTAGACCTAGAGTTCATGGTTATGTCAGGCAATGTGTTCACGATTCCTAATCAAAGTCAAAACAAATTGATAGTTACATGCAACTGTACAGCCAGGAAGGATGATTCTGTCCAAACATATAACCAACATTTTAAAATATGCACAGGTTTCTACTCATTGTTATTTCCCAAGCAACTGACTTTATGTTGCCAACATTTGCATCCCTCTCCGTACAAGCAGGCTTTGATTGCACTTTCTTTTGGAAGTTTCTTTCAAAAGTGGGATAAGGCCTCCAGGATCACTGTGGGTTCTGTGCTAGGGAAGAGGCAAAGCACTGTGGAGAGCCCCATTTTGCATTATTTGCCAGGCTAAACAGATCTCAGCTGCCTTCCTTGCAGAGTGAAAAAGCCAAGCCAGGGGTGAACATGTTTGGAGCTCACTGATGGCGATGCTGCAGTTTCAAAGCCAGGCTGAGCACACGTGCTGGAAGGAGTTTCAGCAACACCTGAGCATGGGAAAAGCCAGACAGATCCTACTTTCAGTTATTGCTTTCCTTCGGCTCACTTTTTCCCCTTTAGACCTTTCCCCTATGATCCCTGTGCCTAGCAGTGATAATCATAATACTCGTACTAAGCGTATCTTTTCAGTGTCATTGGTTTCATTGCTCTGCCTTGCACCTTACCCCTGTCTTGGCCTTTTCACTCTGCGAGGAAGGTAGCTGAGATCTACTTAGCTTGGTAAATCATGCAGAATGGGGCTCTCCACAGGGCTTTGCCTCTTCCCTAGCACTGAACCCAGAGTGGTGCTGAAGGCTTTATCTCCCTTTTGAAAGAAATCCCCAAAAGAAAGTGCAGTGGAAGCATGGTTTTTAGATGTTCTTTAGTCTTTGTTTTTTCATTCCCTCATGCAGTCAGTGTTCATTTAGTGTCTGTGAGGTGAAAGGGACTGTGCTAAGGACTGCCTGTTCTTAGATTAAAAGAGACACAGTCCCTGCCTGCCTGTGAATCAGTCACCACCTTTATAAGGAAAACAGAAGAAAATCAATAATTAACAGCACAATGGATGTTCTAGGGGTATGCACAAAATGCTAAGAGAATGCAGAGGCAGCCATTGATGCCTGGGGAGCTCAAAGAATGCTTCTAACAACCTTAGTCTTGAAACTGTCTGGGAGGTATCGCTGGGATTAGTTATAGGAAGGGTATGAACCAAGCATGAGGCCAGAGGGTATGGCATGTCCTAGTAGCAGATGTAGCTAGAGCAACAACTATGTGTAAGGACTCAAAGCAGGAGAGTAAAGAACTGCTGAAGCCAGATTATTATGGTCCTTCTAAATGATGTTAAGACACTTGAACTTATCCCAGAAGTCAATGGGGAGGACTTACAGCAGGGGAGTGAGGCCATAGTAGCTGGTCAGGGAACACCAGTCACAACCATTTACTAAAACATTGAATGAGACATTTGAGAGTGTCTGAATCAACTGTTTCCAGTCCAGGCTGGGGAAGCAGGAGAAGAAAATGAGTAAGAGCACTAGATGGGCTTCACAGCTGACACGCTGGGAAACAGGAAAATTAACTTCTCCAAGCATCAGCTTTCTCATGTATAAATGTCCATTTAATGCCTACTTTCTCTGGCTGTTTTCAGATCAAAGGAGGTAATGAATTGAAGCACTCAGCAATAACGTGTGGCACCTAACAAGGCCCAGTGAATGCTAATGATCAACAGTCATTATTATGGTGTTATCAAAGCTAATTTTAGCTATATTTCACAGTGGCCAGATCTTTTGGAACACTTGATTGTAGGGATTTCCCTCTCCCTATATTCAGAGACCATGCTGCCTCCAGGAGCCTTTGCATTTTCTATCTTTCATTACCACAGAAACTTAAATTAAGTACAGCCAAAGCGTTTCTGCCTGGATCCCAGGCTCCAAAACAATGGCTATTCCCCAATCTCAAAACCCCCAAAGATCAAATAACCCTCTTGAAATAGCATCTATTGTTTTGCCTTGATCGCACCTGGGTCCAATGTAAAGGCAGAAGGGAGAGTTTGGAGATCTGAAAAGGAACCCTGAAGTGAAAACAGTAGAGAATTTGGAGGAATTGTAGGAAGAGAGAATGGAGGCTTCCAAATCTGTCCCAGATACTGGGAACTTCTAAGATTCTGCTTAGATCACACAACAGTAAGGAAGCTGCTCCAAGTGGTTTGTTGATACAGTCCTGTCCCCCTCCAGGAAATGTAGCTGTACTCTGAAATGCATCCCAACTCTTTCCACTGAAATGAACTTTGATTGACCTGTACATTTATGCATTCCGAAGGCTCTCTTGCAAATCCAAGCCTCCTATTCGGCCGCAGAAGCAGCTGCCGTTATGGATTCCAGCCAGATAGTGCTCATTCTGTTAAACAGGCGGCGCTCAAGAAGCCCGAAAATAACGTTGCCCATAAGTAACACTGCCATTTTGCATCTGTTCCGTGGTCCCATTCATTTTCTTAACTAGAGCTAAGCAGAACAAACAAGTAGGCTGGCCCCCTCTCATGTCTTTCACTAATAGTTGTAAACCTTCTGTTGTAATATAAAAGCTGTTTATAATATCATTACCATCTGGTTAGGCTCACTTTGCATCTTACTGGTGATCCTGCATTTTTCCTTTTCAGAAAGTTTCTGTTCTGGTTAAACACTCCAACTGCTGCTTTCTAAGCTGGAGCAGCCCCAAGGAGAGGGTGTCTTGGAGTGCTTCCACCTCCAAAATCGCCTGAGCCGCACGGGCAGTTATTGCGCTGCTGATAAACCGCAGAGGCTTTCAGCATGCCAGTTGAGCTAAAGCCCTGGAAGGCAGCTGGAGCTGGAAGTGCAGCCTGAAGCTGGCTCAGCCACTCTTGGGCCTGGGAAAGGAGGATATTCTCTGTGTGCTGGTGCCCACAGTGGCATCCCAGGTCTCATTCTCACACTTTGAATGAGCCAGATTGGGTTTGCCTCACTTTGGAGAAGGAAACTAGACCCTGGCGTAGCAGGGAGGACGACCACAGAGCTCTCTCAGAGAGCTCTTCCCTCGGACCTGAAACTGGAGGGCCACCGAGTTGAGTCCACAGCTCCTGCTGTGCTGCCTATCAACACTCAGCCGGAGAGCAGAAACGGGGATTGGATTGCGATTGCACTTTTATTAATACCAGAGGCAAGCAGTCTGAGAAGATGGCGGGTAGAAACCCCAACATCCACCTTCCCCTCGAGCCCTCAGAAGCAAGTTTATATAGCAGAAACGTGGGAGTTGGGGACGGGGAAAGTCCTAGGGGAGCTCAGACTCGCCCTTTCCCTTGGGACTAAGAGGAGAGGGAGCCTAAAGGGGAGCTGTGTAGCTTCCTCCCAAGCTCACTACTGTTCTTCAGGGGTTATCTCTCCTCCATTTGCATTAGCATTCCTCTCTTCCCCGTTGTTTATGGCCACGTAGGCTCTGCGTTCTCTGGTTAGGGAGGAGAGGTATAAACCGTTTGCCCTCAAGTGTCCTTAGTTAGGGGAGATAAGGTCTGGTGATTCACCAGCTGGCTGTAAGTTGCTCAAACTGTTTGGCCTTGTTTAATTTTCTTGTCTCAGTTTCCCCATTCCAGTTGCCCAGGAATTTTCCTAGTTCCTTACTCTCCTGTCTCAGAACCAGTGACTGCATGCTAACATTAACATTCATGCATCCTTTTTGGGTTTGTTTTGTGTGTGTGTGTGTGTGTGTGTGTGTGTGTGTGTGTGTGTAAAACCTTTTATTTAGGCTTAGTTTCATGGTAGAGTATAGGATGGAGAATCCACTGGAAGTTAATATTCCAGTTATTTCTATCCATGAGAATGTTAGCAGACAGTCAAAGGGAGAGACAGTATTAGTTTTATTTTTTTTAATTTATTGTTGTTTAGTTACAGTTGTCCCACCTTTTTCCCCATTGCTTACCCCTACCCCGACCCCCCCCCCACAGTCAATCCCCCGCCCATCCCCCCGCCTTCATTCATTTGTTCAGGCATCTACTGAAGTGTCCTTGGTGCCAGGCGTAGTTCCAGGCACTGGGGGTGTGAAGATAATCTTTGTTTTCAAGGTGATCTTATTCTAATGGAGGAGACAAGTAGAGAGATAATTTAAATACCTAGTGAAAAGAACATGCTAGAACATGCCTTCTTGATAGGAACAAAAGTCAGTTCTTGGAGAGTAAGGAATCTTAGATATTACATTATAATGATTAGTGGCCCTCCAAAGCTCACCCTTACCTGATTGAATCTTATTCCTTCATATTCCTCTTGTCAGGAAGAATTTTAATTTAATTTTCCTCCTTGTTGGGGGCAGGAGCAAGAATTGAAATAAAAAGGTGAGAAACATTGGAAGAATGCATAGGAGCTCTGGGAGCTCCAAGGCCTCTAGCTCTAGTCAAGGAGCCAGGAAACCTTCCTGAAAGAGAAGTCCTCTGAGCCGAGTTTTAAAGTTACAGTAGGAATTCTCTGGGGCAAGAAAGATGTTTGTGCACAAGGAGTGACATGTGCAAGGTTAAAGATGTCAGAAAAGTGCTCTTAAAGAAACTGCAGTGAGGAAGAATTTAGAAGACTGGATGGGGATGGGAAGTTGGCGTGACCCTCGGGAATCCATAGAGGCTCCAGCTCTGCTCATGCAAAGAAAAGGGTTGTATTTTATTCTTAAAGAATTGGGGAACCAATGAAAAGCACCAAGTAAGAGAGTAACATATTCAGATTTATGCCTTTAAAATATCCTAGGGAGAAAAGAAAAGGAATTACACGTTGGCAGCACTGGTGAAAATGAATGGGAAGGAGGGGGGCAAAGGCTGGATCCCTGCCAGGAAAAATGGTTTGGAAGAAACTGTTGTTCGGAAAACCCGGGCGGAGCTGAGATAGGGGCCTCCTTTCCAGCAGGTGGCAGTGGATGCTCTGGCACCTTGCCTGGGTGCAAATGGACAAAAAGGGTCTGGGCGAGACAGTGTCCAGGCAGGCAGCTGCCAGCACCGCCATCTAGGAAAATGAGGAAACCACGTTAATCAAATATCTGTTTACCTGAGGCATCCAGATAGAGTTTTCTGAAAGAATCAAAGTTGTTATTAAATTAAATATTATTAAGTGAAATATGTATTGTCATAATATTATAAATTTATTAAATGAACTGTTATAAATTTATTAAATGAAGTATTTAATAAAATAATATTTTATTAAAATTTTTCATTGTTATTATAAAAACTTTAAATACTTAAAAACAGAGAAAATGGTACAATGAAGCATCATACATCACTTAGCATTAACAGTTGTTAACTTGCAATCTGTCTCAGTAGCTCCTTAGCAAACCATCCCCAGCCAGGGTGAGGTAGAAACCTGGGAGGAGCTTGTGAACCCGCACGCAGAGCCAATGAGGGCTGGATACAGAGCAGCCATTTTCAACCTTTTTCATCTCGTGGCACACACAAACTAATTACTAAAGTTCTGTGGCACACCAATCAGTGTTGTATCTTTTGCCGATCTGACAAAAAATAGGTATGATTTTGATTCATTCACACCAAACAGCTATTGTTGTGTTGGCTGTTGTCACTTATTTATTTGACAGTCTAAGGGAAGAGAGGTCAGTGCCCCGGACTGAAGAGTCGGGTATTGTGTGTTTTAAAAATTCTTGCGGCACACCGGAGTGCCGCAGCGCACCGGTTGGAAATTGCTGATGTCGAGGATTGTCTGCTGCCAGTATAAATTGAGTCAAATGTGGAAGATGTCTATACACTAGATGTTGATCTAAACACTGCGGTGGGTGGCAGTTGGTCTTTAATTCTGTGCGTACGGAGCCTGTTGTGAGTAGAGCGCTGAGGAGGTGCAGGTGGTGGGCGCATTTCAGAACTCCCCACCCACGGCCGGGGTGACGTGAGTGCTGGTGGGAGAGGACACATCGCTTCCAACATCACTATAAACCTCTCATTTTATTTTCATTGTGATTTTTCACTGCACACACAGATACTTGAATTGTTAACTCAAGCCTTTTTTCTCCCATCCTTATTTTAGGGTCTCATATCATACATGAGCAGGGGGGTCCTTGCAGAAATGTGATTGTGTTCACGCTTCACCATGGTACAGTCTGACTGTAAACGCTGGCTCTTTCGTTAAAGTGGCTACTGGACCATTTCATTGCATCCTTAGGTATAGAAATGAAAAAGCTCCTTAACCATTTGCAGCTCCCAGGCCCAAGAAATAAAACAAGAAATGCTTGAAATTCTTCAGCATGCCATTAGCAAATAAGACCCTGAGACTTCATATTTGCAACCTGGACACAGTGAAAACACCCACCCTTATTGAAGGCATCTCATGACATCTCTCAGACCGATGCATTACGCAGACCACACTTACACTTCCTCATGCTGGTGTTAAATAGCAAAAAGAAAATGAAGAGACTAGCCAAAGAACCCACAGACACAGACAACAGTGTGGTGATGGCCAGAGGAGAGGGGGAAAGGGGTCTGGGTGCAAGTGGGCAAAGGGGGGAAATGGGGACACCTGTAATAGTGTCAACAATAAAAATAAAGTTAAATAAATAAAAAAATTAGTGAAGATTAAGTTATGATAGTATGTCAGCCTGGTATGTACTATAGAAACATAAGTTACATGGCTTTGAATCTCAGGAATAGAAGAGATAATCATTCACACCTCTGTTTTAATACCCATGAATTCATCAATAGGATTTACATTCTAAGACACAATCAATGGAATGATATGTAAGGGGTTCCAGATTTCCAGTCCAACCTCCCTCTGTTCCACCTAACCACGTGTATGGTAGAGTGTGCTCCAACCCTGAGTGAGACCCACTTTTCTGTGCTGAAAGTTAGCTTACTCATGAAGCCTGAAAGTAGGAGTTGTGTGGCCTGACCTCTCCGTCACTGCACGACCCTCTCCTCCCACATCGCCCCCTCGGCCCCCTGTTCGTCCCACGGGTATTGGTGGCACACTTACCAAGTGCTGGGCACCCACCGTGCTGGGCGTGGGCACTGTGCGAAGGGCCTGCAGGGCCAGCTGGACAGACCACTCTCAGATTTAAACTTTAAGTCGTTAGGCAGTGAGCCGACCACTGTCTCCCTGTTAGCGTGTAATATCCTATTAAGGAAATGCTACTTCCCAAAATAGTTATTTCCTGAGACATAATGCTCTGATGATGATGTTCTGAATTTCTTATTTTATGTCTGAATATATGTGTCTTATTGCTTTGTTTTTTCCAAAAAAAAAACCCTTGGCATTTATTGCAGACGAACAAGAAAGTTCCGGAGCAATTATTTACACTGTGGAGCTTAAGCGCTATGGGGGGCCCCTCGGCATCACGATTTCAGGAACGGAAGAGCCATTTGATCCCATCATCATCTCAAGCCTCACTAAAGGGGGATTAGCTGAAAGGTAAAATATCAAAGGAACTGTTACAGTGACCTGTGTCTGAGATGGGTTTCCTTCCTCACTCACAGCCACATAAAGATGGGCTTTCCCCTCCTGCTCGGTTATTTGTTGACTTCTTCAAATCTGCACAAAAGAGTGACTTTAGAGCTTAAGAACTCTCAGCCATCGCTCCAACGTGACTCTGAGGGACATGTTACTGGCGGTGAAAGGTGCTGTGGGCTTAGCATTGATATTAGTCTCTAGAAATGTATAAACTGACCACAATTGACTGGAGGTAGATTTATATTGTGTCCACTTTGAAAGAAGGAGGCTGAAGTTCAGGGAGGTTAACAGGCTTGTCCACTTCAATTCAGCAAACATTTACTGAGCCTGTTCCCTGACGCACTGGCCTTAGCTGCCACGTTTTCAGGAGAGGATGACACAGCCTTATCTTCAAAGATTTCAGGAAACAAAGTGTAATATCTTGGTAATATCTTGCAGTTTGGAATGTCCGCCTATCCCTTTGGCAAATTGTTTTCGTTAGCATACAACCCCATCCTCCCATTAAACTGCATCTCCCTGGCACGTGTTGTGGGAGGATACCCCACACATCACGGCCAGATCTGTACTTCAGTAACCTCGCTCAGCAATGTACTCACGTCATTCATGCTCACATCTGAGAACAAGCATGTTTAAAATAAAGATGCAGCACTGCAGAACTTTGGAGCTGCAAGGTACCTTAGAAGTCATCTCATCCAATATCTTCATCTGCCAGATGAGGGCCCTGAGGTCAATTGAAAAGGTCATCCTGTAGGAATTTCATATTGTGATATTAACAGGGACACTTACAATATGGTATTCTTCAGGCATCTTCCTGTCCTAGGGATCTCTGTTAGGGAGAAAACAAGAAAAGATTAATATTTATCTGATGTGGCAAGCTCCTGGTCAAGTGTTGTATGACTTCCAATGTAGGTCTTTCGTAAACCAGAGATTCTTTGTGAGAGAATGAAGTGATTTTTTTTTTCAGGGAAAAAAATTATTTGAGAGTTGATGCATTAGTGGACTTGTTAAGCAGCCACTTGTAAGCTGCATGATCCAGAGCTGCTTCTGCTGCCCAGCACAGCAGCCAGTCACAAGCAGCCCTGTGAACTAGGCTAACCCCATCATCTCGTGTAGTTAGTGAGCAGTGCATAGGAGGCTGGCACACGGGACTCCCACTCTGCAGCCTTCAGAGAAAGAGCTCTGACTGTTTCACCATCACTGCGTCAGCTGCTGTGAGTCTACTCCTTCCACACTCAGTGCTTCCAAACACCAGAATTATAAATTCCAGTCTGCTAGTTCAGAATTGGGTGAGGATGGGAAGAGGAGGAAAAAGGCCAAAGGTTTATTAGTTCATTGATCAATAAATTAATTTTCTTTTTTCATGTGTCAAATAACCTACTAGGCCCTTTACATATGTTTTCCTATTTAATCTTCAGGTCTGCCCTGTAAGATGATTACCTGCCATTGTAGTGACAAAGAAACTGACATCCAGAGGGGTTAAAATAAGGTCGCCAGGTCCCACAGCTGGCAGGTGGTGGAGTTGGATTCATACCCATCACTACAGTCATACGCCACACAAGACCACCACCTGTACCACAGTGGTCCCATAAAAAAATTTCTATCACCTGATGACTCATAGCTGTCCAAACATGGTGTCACAATGCATTACTCACGTGTTTGTGGTGATACTGTGTAAACACACCTACTGTGCTGCCAGTCATGTAAAAGTACAGCACATACATACAGTTATGCACAGTACATAATAATTGATAATTGATGACTATGTTACTGGTTTATGTAGTTAGTATACTATACTATTTATTGTTATTTTAGAGTGCACTCTTTCTACTTATATAAAAATGTTTGCTGTAAAACACTACATTGTGTTATGCTGGCAGCAGCCTCATACATCACGTGTTCCTGGAGTCTCTTGACTGCATCACCTTCTCTTGTGCTTGACTTGATTTCATGTTGCTTTGGACAGTAACATGCTGTGCAGGCTCATAGCTTAGGAGCACTTCTTGTTCCTCTTATACCATACAGCCTAGGTGAGGTAGGCTATACCATCTAAGTTTGTATAAGTGCAGTCTATGATGTTCGCAAGACAATGAAATTGCATAATGACACATTTCTCAAAACATACTTCCATTGTTATGCAGTGTATGACTGTCATTGATTCCTGAGATCAGCCTTTTTCAATCCTTGGAACCACCAGCAGGGGGCCCTACTACACCAGGGTCTGGGGTACTCCCCACTCTCTGAGCTTCACTTCCGGTGAGCTGGGACAATGATTCTGTTCAACATTTGGGCCTGAACAAAGAAGAAATGCCCCATGCTAAACATCACTACATTTATCGTCCACCCTTGTTAGTTTCCTTGAGATTTTTAAGAGAGTTACCAAATGACTCAGCTTTCTTGAAATGTAACAAGCACACAAGCCCACTTTAAATACTAATTAAAACAATTTTTCTACTTTTATTTGAAACTAAAAAGTAATTCACAACAGATGCAGTTGTCTTGTAACGTTGCCCAAGAGACAGCTAGTAGTGGCTTCTAGAGACTCTTGCCAAGTCTTTACTATTATGAATATATAAAGTCTGGCTGGGAATTGATACTCAGTATCTCACAGGGATTATTCCTACTGTTCCTATTCCTGCTTGGTGTTTCAGAACTGGCGCGATCCACATCGGAGACCGAATCCTAGCCATCAACAGCAGCAGCCTGAAAGGGAAGCCTCTGAGCGAAGCCATCCATTTGTTACAGATGGCAGGAGAGACTGTCACCTTGAAAATTAAGAAACAGACAGATGGTGAGTGGGTCGAGAGCCCCAATTAAGAATTTCCTGTGCCTTTCCGTCCCAGAAAGCATGTGCAAATGTCTATGTGTGTATTTCTAGGAAAATGACTCTAGCTAGGAAGTGTTTGATATCTTTTTATTTGGATTTATTCTGATACTCAAACTGCTTTCCTGTCTTTAAAGCTCAGTCAGCATCAAGTCCCAAGAAATTCCCCGTTCCCAGCCACTTGAGTGACCTGGGAGATGTGGAGGAGGACCCGTCCCCCACGCAGAAGCCGGGCAAACTCCCCGACACGTACCCCTCCACTGTGCCCAGTGTGGACAGTGCTGTGGACTCGTGGGACGGCTCTGGGATCGATGCCAGCTACGGGAATCAAGGTGTGTCCTAACCCTGAGGAACAGTGGATTTGTCGTTGTCAAAGCCCAGGTTCCTCAAAGATCCACCCTCTGCTCCACAAAAAGAATATCATATATTTTACTTGTGTCCATGTTGATGTAACATATAGAACGCATTACTGTAGTGGCTCTGCATTCCCCCTTCCTAGTGCTGATAAATCATGAACATCTATCAAACACCACTAGGCCCCTTTTAGACCTACCAAGGGTCAAGTGTTCACTCTGGAGCTGGTCCTTCCAGCGCAGGTTAATCTGAGGGTAACCATGCAATGAGGTGGCCCACTGAAGACAGGCCCGTTGTCTTACCTTTTCCAGCAAAACTGGATTGAGGATGCTGACAGTAAGCATAAGAGGTTAGTCAATGATTTCTTTATTCCTGCCTCCTCCTGACTTTTAAAACCCTGTGGGGGTTTCCCAGAATACTCACTATTAGAGAATTGTAATCACAATATATAAAAGTATTTAATAGATTTCACAGATATCACCTTCATGTGGACCAACATAGCCTGAATTAAAAGTTAAACCTCATTAACAGGAAATAAACACATAATGTGTTAGACGGAATACAGAGGGAAAACTAAAAGTTTCTTTTGAAAATCTGTCTCCTTCCTAATGACACATAGCATCAAGACAGAAGTGTATCCAAAGAGTCTTTGTATTTCTCCTAATCTGCTTTGTCTATTGCCTTGTAGAAATTTCAGCCCCCAAATCCCCTTTCTGAACCAGATTTAACAGCCAGAGAATAAAATAAACAGTTTTGAGAACACATGTGTGGGATTTAGGGTTGCTTTGTAGCTTAGTAGTTAACTGCTTTTTAGGATAGTTGACGCCCAGTTTGCTGTCTTCCAGCTCCCCAGTTTACTCTCTGTTAAATCTCCTGAAGGGGGCAGAAAAATGAAAAGAAATATTTCAAAACTGTCAAGTCATGACTGGTTAGAGATGATATTAGGGTTTGATGGAGAAAATATTTTGAGCACTCTGAAAACAGAATTGGAACTTTATTTATCTGGCACTTAATTGTTCTAGGTTGTGATACTTGGTAACGAGTAAGCTATGCCATCAAATAATAGATACTCTCGTGTTCTGGGAGTTGATGGGCCACCAGAGGTCACTCTGGATAAAGAAATCAGACTGTATCAGTACAGACTCTGAGGTTAATCTATTCATGTGTTTGTTTACTGTTTATTAATGTGGATACTTTCCGTTACACAGATTTTTGTGAGGATGCCATTGACTTTATGTGTTCCGCCCCCTAAGGCCGTGTGTGGCAACGTAACTGCCCTGTCCCTTTCTGCCACAGGACAACCAGAACCACGACCAGCATGCCAGATAGAGCGTCTTTGCCTCATTAGGGAAAAGTGAAGAACCATTTACTATTTATGAAGCATTGTGGACATTTGAAATCCTAGACAGGGGATAGTAGTCATAATACTATTAAATTTGGTGTTTGTAAGTCAGAAATCTGTATGAAGTTGAAGAGAAATTAGAGATAAGTAGAGAAAACAGCAATCTGGACGGAACAGAGGTCTTCCAAGGTGATGAGAAAACAGTAACAAGACCTTATATTTGTAAAACACTTTAGTGTTTACAAAGCACTTTCACAAAATCAATCTCAAATGATCCTCACAATGAACACAGAAGTCAAAAGGCCCGTGGGTCACAGGGTTTCAGTGTCGGGAGAGAATTTAAAAGTCAGTGTAGCCCTTGGGGCCGTGTCACGCAGTCACACTGCCTGGGCTGGACACCCCGTGACCGTTTTGGTTGCTCCCCAGCTGCTGAGGCAGCTCCCCTCCTCCGAGAGTGCAGCTCTGTCTGGACTCCTCAGTGGCATTGGGCGGAAGCCTGTCTGACAGCCTGTAGCTCCTTCTGTCAGCGTGAGTTCTGCCCTCAGGCCATTTGGCACGAGACTAAAGCCTCTTCCCCTGGACAGCCCTTCAGGTTCCCAAAGCCAGCTGTCATGCCTCTTTTCCGTTCCTTCCCTAAGCAAAATGACCACGGTTCCTCAAACTGTTCCTCACATAACCTGCTTTTCGGTATCTTCATCATCCTGGAGGCTTCTTTTCTGACTATGCTCAAATTTAATGTTATACTTACTAAAGTGTGGTACTCAGAAAGGGAAGTCACATAATAGTCTGACAGCCCAGAGCAATTCAAGCCTGTCATCTTCATCACTGGAGACTGTAGAACTTACCAATGCAGCCTCTCTCAGTTTTGATGGTCACATCTTATCTGTCACTCATCTTCAGCGTACTGTTTACCAAGAACTTAAAGTCTGTTGTTTTTTTTTTTTCTTTTACTTCGGATATTGGGTTAATCCAGATCTCCCCAGATTGCTTGTGAAGTCAACTTTTTAGAAGCAAGACATAGAACCATACTTTTTTTATGTTTTCATGTTAATGATCGTGTTGTGAAATGTAGATTGTCTCTCCAGCCTGCCCTCCAGCCTCTCAGCAGACTCGACCGTGTCCCAGGAAGACGGCGCATTCTCACTGCATCTTTAGGTCTAAAGCAGTTGCCCCATTCTCAAGAGGATGTTTCACCTCTGTCATTCCTCCTTGAGCCAGAAACTGATGTCTCTGCTGCCACGTTCCTTATTGTTCTCTACTTCTTGTCCAAAATGTCCAGCTTGCCCATTCATTCATTCAGCAAACAAGTAATGGCAAGCACAGTGTAAGGTTAGCACACTGTGGGCATGTGATGTTGGACAGAAGAGATGTGGTCCTTGTTCTCATGAGAGGTTACCCAGCTGAAGGGCCTGTTAACCACCGGTGCAAAGTAGTCCTCCGTCATTCATTGAAAAGGAGAAAAGGATGGGGTAATCATAGCTGATAGAGAAAGAAGGAAGGTATTCAAAGAAGTCTCGCAATGGGATGACTCAATTCTAGACTGTGGCTCTAGGATACAGACTCTTTCTGGTCTGCCTCCGAGTCAGCTTCTTTCGGTCCCCTTTCTCTATATTCGTGTCCTTCTGCCTTATCAAAATCGAATGCTTTGGGTTCCCTTGTCTTATTTATTCCTCCTTCTAACTCTGAGAAAGCCTTCTGATGCTTTCCTTGGACTTAGCAAAGGTTAATCAATACAGGAAAAAATTTAACAAATTGTTGGTACTTGGAGTCTGTCCTTCTCATAGACGGTGAGTGTCTCTTGATGTCTGCAATTCATGACTCTCAACTCAGGTATTTACATTTCTGTCTTCTTATCCCATCATCTTTAGACATTTCTCTCTTCTGAGCTTATTTTTTGAGTTTTATTGATGTATAATTGACAAATACAATTATATAGATTTGAAGTGCACAATGTGATGATTCTACACACATATATGTATGTGAAATGATCAGCACCATCGAGTTGGCTGACATGTCCATCACCGTGTGTGTGGTAAGAACACTCAAGTTCTGCTTTCTTAGCAAATTTCAAGTATACAAAACAGTGTTATTAACCATAATTGTCTTTCTGTACATTAGATTCCCAGAACATACTCGTCTTATAAATGCAAGTTTGCCTCCTTAGACAAACATCTCTCTGCCTCCCCCACTCCCCAGCCCCCGGCACCCACATTCTCCTCTCTGTTCCTATGAGTCGTCCTTCTCACTCTTGTTCTTCTTGTTCTTTTTCTTGTTCTTGCTGCTGTTGTTGTTGTTGTCCTTCCTCTTCTCCCTCTTCTTCTATGTCCTACATATAAGTGAGCTCATACATTATTTGTCTTTCTCTCTCTGGCTTATTGAACTTAGTATAATGTCCTCTAGTTTCATTCATGTTCTTGCAAATAGCAGGACGTCCTTCTTATTTATGGCTAAATAATTTTCACATATAATATTATATATATACACATATATATATTACACTTTTTACCCATTCATCTGATACTTAGGTTTTTCCCCTATCTTAGCTATTGTTACATGCTACAATGCTACAATGACACAGGAGTGAATACATCTCTTCAAAATACCAATTTTATTTATTTTGGATCTATACTCAGAAGTAGGACTGCTGGATCCTTTTGGAGGTCATTTTTTTAAAGATTTATTTTTAGAAAGAGGGGATGGGAAGGAGAAAGAGGGAGAGAAACATCAATGTGTGGTTGCCTCTCACATGCCCCCCACTGGGGGACCTGGCCCACAACTCAGGCATGTGTCCTAGACTGGGAATCGAACCGGTGACCCTTTGGTTTGCAGGCTGGTGCTCAATCCACTGAGCTACACCAGCCAGGGCTACAGGTCATTTTTTATCATTTGTATTCTCTCAGGAAAAAAAATTGTTTCATCCAGGTTTTCTTATGTATTTGCCTACAATTAAGTAATATCCTGTTTTACTATTTTTATTTTCTGTGTTTCTATAATTATATCCCCAACATCGTTCTGTATTTGCTGAATTTGTGTTTTTATTTTTTTCCTGTGATTATATTGGTAATGGTTTATTTTTATTTAGTATTTTTCCCAAAGAACTGACTCTTGCATTTATTTATTAGTTCCACTCTGGCTTTTCAAAATAAAGTTTTTCTTTTATTTTGATTAACTTTATTTTGTTCTTAGATTTGTTTCTGTTTATGATTTGAACAGGATGCATCATTTGTTTCCATGCTTCCTTAGAGTTCTCATAAAGACAGTGATGACTGATGACAGACACCAGCAGTACAGCCAGAGAGCCCCGCCGCCCTTTACTGTGGCTAGGGAACACAGCGTGGGCACGTGGGGAGCAGCACAGAGTGAGACACTCAGCAGTACTTTCCCCGCACACGGGGGCTTTATTCCCCTTTCCTTTGCTTTTCTGATCTCTTCACACTTACGTTTCATCACCTTCTGTTGTCTTGCCTTGCCCGATTTTCCTTGAGCTCTTTGATCTCTTATAGAGATGATGGTTTCAGTGTGTATGTTATAAGTTTTGAGATAATGTATCAATATTTGGTTATATCTATCATTTGCTCCATGGTAGCCTTTTTGTCCCTTCCCTCTCTTCTCTCTCTCTCTCTCTCTCTCCTCTTC